GCTGGTTGGGGAGCTCCAGGGATGCACTGGTCCCCTTGGGGGCTCCTGGCCAAGGACAAGGGGCAGGAGGTGCCGGTGACCGTCACTCGGAGCGCTCGGGCACAGGGAGAGCTGCGGTACCTCAGCATCACGTCGGATTCCCGGACAATCTGGGGTATGTCGCCCTTCAGGATCTTCTGCTGCGACAGCAGGGCATGGGCCTTGCTCCACCTGCAGGGAGGCACCCAATGAGCGTCTCAGGTCCAACCAAGCAACAGTGAGAAACTTCCTGGTGCTGCTGTCACTTCTAGAGGAAGTTCAAGTTCGCCCTTTTGCACTTGAGGGCAAGGAACTCCCAAGACAGGGCCACAGGACATGTTCAGTCTGATCGTTCTGAGATCAAACGGGGTCTTTCTTGCTCACATTCATGCAAGCTTCAGGTCTCCTGCGTTTCCTGATGGCTGCTGGGCTTTGCCCAAGGATGTGCCACTGGATATGGCAATCTGAGGCACCAGTGTGGAGAGAAACCAGGTCTCTGCTGCATCCCCATTCCTATATCTGCTATCAGTAACTCCAGCCAGGGAAGCCCTCCTCTTTCCCGAGAGTTTCTATGTTTTGGGGGCTTGGATTCTGAAGGAATCCAATCCATAATCTTTCTTCCAGCTTGCCCCTCTTGTGTTCACCTTGCAGAGCAAATTCGTCACATGCAGCTACTCACCACTCCACCATGAGGGGCCGTTTCTCCTCCAGGGTCCGGTTGGGATCAATTTCGATGGGATAGTAATAGTGCAGCAGATCCTTCAGCTGCAGCGTTGGACACATAGAAGGAGAATGCAATGAACAGGAAGTCTAAAGAGGCTGTAAACAACAAAAAGTGCCTCCAAATTCCCCCGAATATGGAGGACAGGGCCATAGCGAAGGACACCCACCTGCCTCCTGCCCTCTTCACTAACAACACGGCTGTCATCCAGGATATCTGTGAAAACAACAACAGTTCAATGATGGAGCCCAGACACATGTGGAAACAGGAAGCAGGATTCCTAAGAGGCAGCTGTTTGGGGTCGAGATCTTGGAAGGGCTGGAATGAAAAGCAAGGCTCAGCAGGGCTGGCTCCCACGAGCCTTAGGGAAAAGCATTAGGAAAAGCAGCAGTATCTAGGGACCTTGGAGGGAGCTGGAGCGAAAGCTCAGGAGATCATTTCCGCAGGGCCTGGACTGCCTGGAAGCACAGTCGGAAACACTGGAGCTGAGCCCAGTGAGCAAACGAGATGGGGAAGGGGCCAGACTCGGGAAGAGGGGGAAGGCAGCAGGTAAGGCTGCTGCCGAGGGGGAAAACACCCAGAGAACAGGCGGAATTGGGGCAGGGGGAAGACACGAAGCCCCCACTCACTGTGCGAAGTGGGGCAGCGCCTGCCGTTGCAGCCGAACCTGCTCAGCGTCATGTCGAAGTCGGAAATGACCTGAAAGACACGAGAGGACGAGACCCGCAAGTGACAGCGGAGGCTGCGGCCCGGGGAAGCTGCTCCAGCCTCGCTGTGTCCCAGGGCAGCCCAGGGCCGCTCGGGCCACGCTGCTGCCAGCTGTGGAGCAGATGTGCTCGTCTGCGACAGCCAACACCCTCCCGTCCCCGGCGCTCTTATCAGCACCCAAGGGTGCAATCCTGCCATGGGTGGAGGGGGCATGTCTGCGGACTGGATAATATTTATGGTGTGCGAAACAGGGAAGGAAAAAGCCCATGGAGGGAGAGCCACCAGCCTGGGCAAACAGCTCTCCCGTCTCGTCCTGCGCTTTCCACATCCCCTCTGCAGAACGGGGACAAGGAGGGTGCTCAGCCAGGCTGGGGATGGGCAGGACCGCGCGCTCTCCGCAGCCCCACAAAAGCGGCCCCGGGGCGGTACCTGCAGCTTGTGCGTCCCCTGCTCCTTCATGGCCTGGATGATCCCCGCCACCCGCGCCGGGTGCTTGATGCGGACCGTGCCTTTCTCCAGCTCGGGCACCTGCGGAAGAAGCCCCCCACGCCGGAGACATCCCGGGTGTCCCACGCAGTGCCGGGGGAC